GGTTTACTGTTCACCAGCAGCTCTCACCAGGACGGTTCGCTCTGCAGTCAGCACAGCGTGTGGGAGACAGGATGGGGGCAGCCATGCATGGGAGTCCATGGTCATATAGCCAGAGATGAGAAGGTCTGAGATATTAGTGACACAGATACTGACTTAGCTGTTCTTGAGAACAACCTCGATGCAGTTGCATGGATCAGCGCCCCTACTCCAAATGTAAGCTGGCGGTCAATGGGAATGTAATCAAGTTTAAGGCATGTTCATTTTAAGATCCAACATGTAACTGCGTTCATGTCCTGCTTTGTAGACTCTCCCCGAGGATAGTCTCAGTCTGCCCTCAAAGCACTGAAAAGTGGTAACCCGGTTTCTGGGGTAAGTCATGGCAACTCTGGCATCTTCAAGACTGACTTAAAATGTATCAAGATGTGTTACAATGAGGGAAAGTACTAAAAGTTGTGTTTGAGTATCACATTGACTACTCTTTTAAGCTGTCTCAAACTTTACTCAAGACAGCCATGAGGCCTATTGGGTCCAAGTGTGGAACTTCAACCCCAGGGGTTACATAGTAGCACACTTTCCAACTGTCTGCGCATGCATTAGTTAGACTGTCTTTGGTGACGGAAGTCTAGTGTCAAACTGGATCATCAGGATGGTGGAACAATAATGATTTCAGGTGGCATTCTTTCTCTGCCCTCCAGATCCGCGACTCCATAGTCTTCCTTTGACTGTGTTAAACAAATACGTAAGCTGATGTCATACTACCATCTACTGGATGGAGGGGGAAATGCCGGCTTTGAAGAAAAGAATATTAATTAGTCTCCTATGACTTCCAGCAGGGCAGAATGTGGGAACTTAGAAATAAATGAAAGGGCATTTGGGGTGTCCTGGCCACCTAAGAACAAAATGAAGAACAGTAAGTAACTTGGTAACTTGTATAGTTACAAACGTACACAAGCACAATACAAACATAAATCTGAAATTTACATTTTCAGTTTTCATCTTTCTACCCCAGGGGGCAATTGATATTTTTAATTTTTGTTAAATGCCCCCCTCCACACACAATAATCACATAGAACACTGATAAAAATGACAGCATGGATGTATTTGAGTACTTTTCATGACGTTGTTAAACATTGACACAATGCCCCAGTAGACGGTCCTGGCAGCCCAGACTTGCAGCTGGCAGTCAATCTCTTGGCAAACCTGTCATGAACACATGTGTGGGAACGGGACAACAGAAACAGTGCAGAGGAGACTGCGAATAAATTGATCCTACACAAAACGTGGAGGAGGACAAAAAGGAATTTTCTGAGAACAAATTTTCCAGAATACTGGAAATTAATCAAAATTTGCGCAGTGGAATCCATCACCGTCTCTCTATCTGCATATAGGCCCACCATCAGCAGATTTGTTGTGGAGTTTAAAGTAGCCCTTGCCTTGGTGCCAGCCTTACTAACAAAGGTCCAGGGACCCCAGTCTCATCCACTCAGTAGGACATCCGTATATGCATTCAACTTCAAGTCCCTGGAAAGAAGCCTTCCAACCACACATCACATCACAGACTTAGAAGAACCACAAGACCTGGTCTCAATTCCACATGGTGATATTTTAAATCAATCAATCAATCTATCTATCTATCTATCTATCTATCTATCTATCTATCTATCTATTTTTGAGACAGGGCTTCTCTGCGTAATAGTCCTGCCTGTCCTGGAACTTACTCTGTAGACCAGGCTGGCCTCAAACTCACTGAGATCCACCTGCCTCTTCCTACCAAGTGCTGGCATTAAAGATGTGCACCACCACCACCTGGCTTTCCTACATGGTGAACTTGACAGCAATCCATCCAACTGGCAGACCAATAAGAGATTGTCCTTAGCTTCTGACAGCAGCAGGCTCAATCGCACAGAAGAAAGAATGAACAAACTCAACATTGTTTGCAAGTAACCAATTAGAAGAGACAGGTATTAAAATAAGGGGAGAAAACTCAAGAAGCTGTAGTACCCTACCAAACACATGGATATACGATTTATGGGAATACCAGAGGCTTGGAGAGATAAGAGCAGGATACAAGTATGTGCTGTGCTGGGACATTATGGTTAGTGACAAACCACATACATGGCGGTGCTGTCATGGGGTGTAACGGAGCTGAAAAATTCATTCTATCTAGTGAACACAAAGCTGAAGAGGAGAGAAGAGAAAAGCAATGACAGGAGAAGAGAGACAGCCACCAATTTCCTTTAAAAGTTTAAGCACAGGCAGTGATATTATGCTTTGTATTTGAAAAACATTTTGAATACTTCACTGTCAGAAGATGTTAAGTGTCTCAGGAGTCTGATTAAAACTTTGCACGCTGTAGACATAGGTGAAGACATCACACGGTACCCCATAATGTGGACAGTTTTCACGTGTTAATTCCAAAACGTTTGAAATCATGACCTCAACCCTGACAGGATTTCTTTGATTGAAAGGGATAGGCAGAGACCCACATCAGAGCACTGGACTGAGCTCCCAAGGTCCAGTTGAAGAGTGGAAGGAAAGAGAATATGAGCAAAGAGGTCAAGACCATGAAGGGTTCATCCACTGAAACAGTCTTCCTGTTAATGGGAGCTCAGCAACTCTAGTTGGGCTGGGAAGGAACAAGCATAGAACCAAACTAGACCCTCTGAATGTAGTTGACAGTTGTATGGCTGGGGCAGATGAGGGGCCACTGGCAGTGGCACTGGGATTTACCTCTATTGTATGTACTGACTTTTTGGGATCCTATTCTATTTGGATGTATACCTTGTTCAGCCTATATGTAGTAGCGAGGGCCTTGGACCTTCCACAAAAAAATGTGCCTTACCTTCTCTTAGGACTAAATGGGGGTGGGGTGACAGGGTGTGTGGAGGGAATGGGAGGAGAGAAGGGAGTGGGAATTTGGATTGGTATTTATTTTTTTAAAAATCTAATAAATTAAAAAAAGATAAGGAAAACATATGTTTAATAAATAAGGTTCACAAGCAGAAGAGGAAGAAGAAGAGGAAGAGGGAGAAGGAGAACAGGAATGCTCAGGGAGCTGTATCTGCTTAAAGTGAATCCATGAAGCCCTCAAGCAAAGGCTGTGCTGTAGTCTGGAGGGACTGGCCATTCATCGAGGGGAGCGACAGGTGACTTCCTCAGGGGGACTGCAGAGGAAGCACTGTTATTACAGGAGATGGAAGAGTGGGCCAGGATGGTGCGTATGTGGGCGTGATCACCGTGATCACGTGTCTGAGTTCGTAATAAAAATTTTGAAAAGTAAAAAAAATTATAAATTTTGAAACTGGTTTAAAAAAGCTAATAAGAGAAACACATAGAGATTTTTTTATTTTGTGTTTCTTTTAATCTACATGTTATTAAAAAGGTTTAAACAGTTTTTAAAAATCTTTATGAAGGAAAAATGACGTAGTAGGCTTATCCACTTTTTTAAAAAGTAATAAAATGTTAAGAAGTAAATTTAGTGTAGCTTACATCTCCAGGGCGACGAAGTTTTCAGGTGCCCACAGTGACATCCTAGAGCTTGGCATCCACACAGCCTCACTGTCTCAGAGCCGTTCACGTCACTGAATGTCTCATTCTCCGGAAACACCTCGAACACTAACTGCTTGACATTTTATACTTATATTTACCATAATTTTGTATTTGAAATGTGTTTAAGTATATTGGCCTAAGTACCTACTATTATATTGCAATTTCCTACAGTCTTCAGTGTGACTTTCGGTCCTGGTTTATAGCTGGGAGTGAGAGGCCCGTTCGTGTCTCTTCAGTGTAGTGGTTATAGCATCTAGGTTTGTGTAAATATACTCTGTGATGTCTGGGACATGTACAAATACAAGACAATACAGAAAGATAATCTTGAAGCAACTGTTTCCTTGAGATAAACACTTACCTCACATAAGGCAAGTGCCACAAACTACCAGTGTACTTAACACAACCTCGAATTCCAGCAAAGAGTGGGAGGCACACTTGAGGCTTCAAAAGAAAGAACAAGCAAGGTAAGAATTTGATACCTGGTCAAGTACCAAATGTTACTTCATAAGTAACAGAGATAATGAACGGTATTCTAAGTAGGTGAAAGCTGATGGGAATTCCTTACTGCCTAAGAGGAAATACTAACTAGCGTTTTTTCAAGTTGGACTAGAAAGGCACAGAGTAACAGTGTAAGAGAATATGACAATTTAATACTTACCAGTAAGTGCAACAGTCAACACGTATCCAAAGCCAGGCTACTCTGATGCCATCAGTGAGAGTGAACCACGTTGGACTCTAGTTAAAATGCTCAGAGAGATGGCTAGTAAAAACAACTATGGCTATAACCATTAGTCAGCTGACACACAGTATAACGAGAAGAAAATATGGCATCAAGAACATAAAGCAAAAGCAGGGAATCATTATCAATGTTTACATAAGCCTTGAGGTAACCAGAAAGAAAACAAACAAACAAACAAACAACAACAACAAAACAGTGGGAGACATGCAAAGGAGAAAGAGAAATACCACCGAGCCTAAGTAGGAAAGTTCCACCAGCTGCACAGGATGGCAGGGCAGCTCGAGGAAAGCAGTTATTAGAAGCATTAACTAAGTGAAGACAGGAAGTCATATCTCTAAAAAGAAAAAAAAAAGGTCACAAATTTCAATCTACTGATAGCAGCAAATGGGCTAAAAAAAATACAAAACAAGACGTGTCAATTTGTGGTGCACAATGGAATGTTACTCAGCCATTAAAATATTAAATCATAAAATTTGCATGTCCGTCAATGGAACTAGAAAAAAAAATCATTCTGAGTGAGGTAACCCAGATCCAGAAAGACAAATATTCTCTTCTATGTAAATATTAACTGTAAAGTCAATGATAACCAAGCTCTTACAACCTGTAAAGCCACAGAGAACAGGTATAAAGGATCTGCAGAACACATAGATCTCCCTAGGAAAGGAGAACAGAATAGATAGTCATGGATGTGTGAGGTGGGGCTGGGCTGGGATGGGAGGGTCAAGTGGGGGAGGGGGAAGAAAGGGGATGCTTGGAGAAGACAGCTAAAATTAAGGTCATTTGATGGATGGCAGGGAAACTTAACACCAGTAGAGGCTTCCTAAAAATATATACATATCTGAAGGTAATCTAACTGAAATCTCCAAACAAAGGGGGAGACAGAGTCTCAAGTGACCATCTCTTGCTGCCAAATGAAGCTTCCAATGCTGGGGATGGGTTATGTCTAATTGAGTTGTCAGCCAGAGGTCCCATTTGAACCCCAAAACAACCCAGGCTGTTGCCAAGACTATAGGTTGTTCTCAAACTTACATCAAGGACCATTGCTGAAAATAACCTCTACACAACTCACTGACCGTGAAGTCAAGCTGGTGCCTACAGAGAGACTTCACCTATACATACATGTTAGCATCTTTGGTACAGTAAAGTATGTGTATGCTAGCAAAAGGTAAAACACCAACCGAGCTACAAACGCTCGGATCTACAGTGGTTACGCTAGGACAATAGCGGCACGGGACTTGTGGGAGTAGTCAATGAATATCTGATTTGACTTAGGGTCCACTCCACGAGATAGAACCCATACCTCATACAACATAAGACTAGATAGTTCAGGGACCTAGAGTAAAAACCAAACAGACACCTTGGAGAGATGTTGGAACACTCAGCATTAAATCCCTCCCCTCAGGGCTCAGGGAACCATGGAAGAAGTGGAAAGAATATAAAAGTCAGAGGGGACGAAGGACACCAAAGAAGCAAGGCCCTCAAAATCAACAGGATCAGTGCGCAGATGAGCTCCCAGAGAATGCAGCATGCATAGAGCCTGGACAGATCTGCACCGGATGAGGTCTTAGAGCCGTGAGAGGTATATTTTCACTCTTTCGGGAAAGTCAGGCACGATGTGATATTTTGGCATTAACTGTGAAGCTGAATTCACTCTCTTACATTTAACATTCCTTCAGATACGAGACTTCTCCATAGTTACCACTGCAGCCCCGTCCTGAGTTCCTAGGGGTCTGTCCCACAGCGTGGATAATGCGCCGTGTCCAGAGGCGTAGACCTCACAACAGGCAGGAGACACAAACCGCATTCTTGCCTGTCTCCCTCCAGCCGTTCACTGCCCGAAGAAGACATGTGCTGCCTGAAGCTGGAGGCTAGATCTTTTCTGCAACAATATAACCTCAGAGAACAGTGACATTCTAGCGCTCATGCCAGTGGCGCTGGCCCCTTCCTAAGATGTGGGCTTAGTGCGCAATGCATGGCCAGCAGGGGGCGCTCCCACACAGCGCTTAGAGAACCTGGCAAACCCCAAGGCTTCCTTTCACTTTCAGATGCGCGTCACCCTGGGCATTCCCTCCACTCCGCAAATATGCCTCGAGACACAAATCCAAAACTTCTTAGAGTAGCTTTGCACAATTTTTGCTTTTCATTCTTCATAGAGATCGGAAGCTAAAACCACAAAGGGAAGCCGAAAACACCTGCAGGAATGAGCAGAGTGGAGGCAGGGACATTACTGTGGCAGGGGAATGGGTTTTGTGAGGCTAGAGGAGGGCAAGGGGGAGGGGCTGGGGCCCTGCGATGCTGGCCAGAGCAGTTCTTGTGACAGAGGGACCCTGTTCCATCTTTTCTAGTACTTGTTCCCAAGGTTCTCAGAAATTCTCTTTTGGGCAAGCAGAACAGACTGCAATGCTCCACCAATAACCACTATTCTGGGGTAGCACTGAAGAATTCAGTAGAAAGTACATTGACTGCTTCGTTTCTAAGAACGCATGTGTTGGTTTAATATAACAATCCAATGATTATTCCAGTCCCGTTTACATTTGAGAAACTTAGTTCCTTAGGAGTGAGGTGAGTCATCCCAGAGCACACTTACGAACCCCACCGGATGGAGTTTTGATGCAAAAATCTTAAGGCGTGGGTTGAATGATTTCATAACTTCGTAACTGGGAATTCTTGGAGTTTTGGGTTGTTTGGATTTGGGTTTTTGAGACGAGGTCAACCTATGTGTCCTGGCTGGCCTTGAAGTCTAGTCAGTCGGCCTGCTGCAGCCTCTGGAGCGCTGGGATTATGTCTGTGAACAGTCGCTTTAAGTCCAAATGTGTATGGTTATTAAGTTGTTTCTCTTGATAATTTTATCAGTGGTTGCAGCTCTGCATCCTCAGCCTCCCTTGCAGCTCTGCCTCCTCAGCCTCCCTTGCAGCTCTCCTGATTTCTACAGTGACAATCTCTCAGGCACACTCGCTGTGTTTCTTCCCTCCCAGGCAGAGATGGGATCTCTGGAAGTATTCCTTTAAGGCCACTTTCCCATGCTCAGTAGCCAAGGCAGATTCTTGCTCTCCCAACATCTGTCAAACTGGTTTCCAGGTGTTCCAGCTGTTGATGGAGTACAGTTCTGAGTTTACCCAGGTCACAGAGGAGCACCCTGTGTGGAAGAAGAGGTTGAAGATGCTGCAGTATCCCATCGGTGACTGAGGTGGCCTAGGACTTCTGGATCTAGCTGTCACTCACTGTGTCTCAGAAGAGCCAGAAGTTTTTTCCCTCCTTCAGACACTAGAAAGAGAACGATTCTCCTCATTTTGGCCCAAGAGCACAAAGGTTTCCTGCTAAGCATGGGGGAGTTCTGAGACAGGTCATAAGCCAGAGATCCAAGGCCATCGCTGCACACCACTGGGGTGGCAAGGAGAAGGATCAGGAGGATCATGGGGGAAAGATGCTGTTAGCCTGGCTGAACCGGACCTCGGTGAACTTTGGACCTTAAGTTCTCTGAGGACATTCTGTACGTGCATTGTTCTTAAGTAGGTAGTCAAGAATGTTCATTTTATGACCGTTTATCTTAACTTTCACTTCTTTTTTTTCATTTCTATTTGTATAATTTCCATACTATCTAACAAGATATCCAAAGGCGAGACTGTTAACTTTATAATAGAAGTTAGTTTTTCCAGTGAACTTTGGACAGGCCAATCCAAATAGACTCTTAGTCAACAGTGAGAACTGCTTGGCTCCAACTCAGAAATACTTACATGGATCAAACAATCGGGGACTTGCATACAGGGGCTCTTTTTTTAAAATTAATTAATGATCACATATTTCTTTTTTAGAGACAACTTCTTTTTTTAGTTCTGTACCACCATTTTCACTCTCCTTCCTTTTAAGAGAAAGCCAGGCTTCCTCACACCTATGGGTTGCGATATTTGCCCGAGGCTTTACCAAGCCAACCATGCCCAATAAACCCTTCAGAGTAAAGGATATGGCTTGATTCATTATTTGATTCAGCAGAGGTTGAGCGTGAGCTGTGAATGAGCTTCTCTGGCATTCCCTAGAACGAGTCTGTGCTGGCGTATGTGACTGCCACATGGGGCCACAAGTCAGTGTTAATGTACACATCACCCTTTCTGCCCACCACTGAGGGCTACGGTGCCCCCTGGGTGTGCCAATCATCCTTGGACCATCCAACTCCCTTCTGGGGCTCACTGCCGAGATTCTAGTTCTAACGTCATGTCCCCAACCCCACCTCACTCCTCCATCTCTTTCCTCGGGGCTAGGGTGACAAAGCATCCCTAGCCCACACTTGCTAGACTCCCTTTCAGAGACAAGGCTTTCTCACATCTCCATGACCACAGTACTCTCTATGAAGGAAGAGGTGCTTTTTATAAAATAGGGAGCTCCCAAGGTCTTTGCTCTCTTGGTTGGGTGCTTTAATGAAAGGCCTTAGCTCTCAGTGGTGAACTGCTGTCCAGATGCATACATATCAAAAGTATCAACAGTCCCTCCAGGTGATGGCAGCAGATGTTTGTACCATCTTTATATCATTCAGTAGCAAACTAATTATTATATTCTCAAACATAAATTTTGTTTCCAACTCTAGCACCATTGAACCCTTGTCGTCCTCAAATTTTCTGATTTGGCAATGGAATTTATTGATTGAGGTTCTCCTTCACCAAAAGTTTAGGTCACATACTCGGCTTGACTTTATTGTTTTTGCTTTATTGTCTGTGACCACTCTGGTACTAAAGTGGGTTGCAGGCTAATCTGTTAAGGTGTAATACATTTCACTTCTTTATGATTTTTCATTCTAGATTTAAACTGTCACAAGAGAAGAATTTTATACCTTATCTTTTCATGATAGTTTATTGGAAAAGGTGTAGTTTGCTCATCTGGTATTACCTCGTACTTCATTCAGAGGTTAGAATTCAACCACAGGAAGTCAAAGAAGGTGGTAGCAGCGATTGTGTGTGTGTGTGTGTGTGTGTGTGTGTGCGTATGTGTGTTTACCTCTATACTTTTTAAGACACAGAATTTTTGTTTGAGATGAAGTCTCACTATGTTGCCCAGGCTGGCCATGAACTCACATTTCTCATGCCTTGGTCTTCTAGGTATTGGGATACAGGCATGCCCTTCCAAATTTAGCTAAGATAAAAGCTTTTTAAATTTCTCATTTCTTCTTCTCGAGAAAGTAAAGCTCCATAGCTATTTGTTGACAAAGTGAAAACAGATGTAAGCCCCAAATGTCATAAAAGTGAAAGAGAAGTTACTTCTTGGAAAAAAAAATCTCCAAGTGTTAGAAAGAAAAAAAATGAGGGATGGATATTGTAGAGGGAAAGAAAGAAGGTTATTCCTGACAGGAATGAAGTTGGAAGATGTCTGTTTGTGAGAGAGCCACAAAGAAGAGCCACCCTCAGGGTCTTATCAGTCCCAGCCTTCTAAGACCTGCCAGCTGATGTTCTTTGGGTTAATCTAGCTGTGATGATCTCTGGGGACAGAAAGGAAGAGTAAAAACAACCACATCACGAAAGACTGACAACCTGACTCCAGTCACTGGAGCACTAATCCAGAGAAAGGGAATAAACACATCTAGTGAATTTTTCATTCAGGCAACGAAAATGCCATCTCGAGATGAAGAATAGAATTAGGAGGAAGGAAATCTAATGCTCTGAAACCCTTTTTAAAAGAAATTGTATTTATTCTTCTCTCATACAACATATTCCAACCCACAATTTCCCCTTCCTCCACTCCTCCCAGTTCCCTCTCCCCTCTTTTCCAGACCCACTTTCCCCACCCCATCGCCCCCCAGAAAAGAGCATACCTCCCAGGGCATCAACCAAACACAGTCACAACAAAACACAGTAAGATCAGGCACAAACCCTCACACCAAGACTGAGCAAGGCAACCTAGTAGGAGGGAAAGTGTCCCGAGATCAGGCAAAAACGTCAGAGACACCCCACTCCTACTGTCTAGAGTCCCCATAAAACACCAAACCAACAGCCATAACATATATGCAGAGGGCCTAATAAAGACCCATGGGGGCGCCATGATTGCTGCTTCATGTCTGTGTGTCCCCATAAGCCCTGCTTAGTTGACTCTTTCCCAGTGTCCTCAACTCCTCTGATTCCCAAAATTCCTCTTCCCCCTCCTAATTTACTCTTAACATAATAATAATGCTGTTTTAAAAATGATAATAGAAAAATGTATTTCATATTCATTGTGAGTCATCTCTGGTCTCAAATCCTTGAAAAGGTTAAGACAGTATTCTCAACAACACTATTGTGAATGACATTCATTTGGCAACTTTTTGGGCAAAACATACAAATACATCTGTAATCAGTATCTTAGGAAGGACTGAGATAAAGCTTTTCTGGAAGGACCTATCAGACCATACGGAAAATAGAAATGGATATGAGATGCATGAGCCAAAGAAGCTGCAACAAGGAATCAGAGCAGAGAAGGGGGGCTTCAATAGCAAACAACCCCAACCCAACTTCCCTGCTGTTTATTGTTTGTTTAGATTCAGGGTTGTGGTAGAAGTGAACGGAACTGCCTGTGTGCTAAGGAAAAGTATATTATCTATTTGCAAGTATGATATTATCTATTCTTTGAGAATTCCATCAATGCACACAATGTATTTATATCATATTCATCTCCCACTTCCCCCCTTCAAGTCCTCCCTGCTCCTTCTCTCCATGTGCCCTTCACAACTTTCTATCGTCTGTTGATTTGGTAACCCACTGCTGCCCATATGTGCATGGGTGTGGGGCCACACACATAGAAGGAACCACACATCTAAAGAAAGCTGATCTTTCTTTAGCTCTTTAGCTAACCCTGGAGTATATGTGCCACTCACCCAGCTACACTGTTTTGTTTGAGCTTGTGCAGCTTCTGTGCAGACATCCCAGCTGCCATGAGTTCATGAATTCAACCCTTCTGCCACATCCAGAAAACATTGTTCTGCCTCGGTCCTCTGAATTCTGGCTCTTGCACTCTCTCCGCCCCCTCTTCAGAGATGTTACCTGAGACTTCTTATCAATGACTGAGCATCCCACAGGACATTTATTCTCTGTATTTTGCCCAGTTGTGAGCTTTGGTGTTAACTGCCATCCACCACACAAAGATGCTTCTATGATTGATATGGGAGGTGCTGTATGCTGTGAATATATTTTATTGTCATTAATTAATAAAGAAACTGCTTTCAGCCAATGGCTTAACAAAGTAAAGCCAGGCTGAAATAGGTACATAGAGAGAGTAGGCAGAGTCAGAGAGAAGCCATGAGCTGCCTGCAGGAGACAGACACACCAAAACCTTGCCAGTAAGCCACAGCCCCGTGGAGATACACAGATTAATAGAAATGGGTTAATTTAAGATATAAGAGTTAGCTAGAAATATGCTTAAGCTATTGACCCAACAGTATTGCAGTTAATACAGATTACAGTGTAATTATTTCAGGAATCTGGGCAGCTGGGAAACGAACAAGCAGACTCCCCCAACGTATAATGAAAGCTGAGCCTACACTAATGTATTGGTAGAAATACAAATTCAGAAATACCTTAGGTACTTTTATATTGTTGTGATAAAAGACCAGAGCCAAAAGAAACTTAAAGCAAGAAGGCCTTATTTTGGCTATGTTTCCTAAGTGATGGGAATCTATCATGATGGAATGCTGGCAGGAGCAGGAAGCTGAGAGTTTACACAGTTTACCTTATTGGGAAGCAGAGACAGCAAACTGAATGTGACCAACAGCTTAAAAGGAAGTATCCAATACCAGGCACTGGGCTTTTTTTTTTTTAGAAAAAAAAAGTTTTAATATGTAGCCATGACTGGCCTGGAACTCACTATATATATATCTGTGCTTGAACCCACAGAGATCTGCCTGCCGCTGCTAGGTTTTAAGGGAATGCTTGGATTAAGGGCATGTACTATGTTCATAGTTGCATTATTTGTAATAGCCAGAACCAGGAAATAATCTAGCTACCCCTCAACCAAAGAATGGATAAAGAAAAAGTGGTACATTTACACAATAGAGTACTATACAGCAGTAAAAATAATGACATCTTGAAATTTGCATGCAAATGGATGGAACTAAGTTAAAACATATTGAGTGAGGTAACTCAGACTGAGAAAGAGAAATATAATATGTATTCATTCATAAGT